CCACAATTAGTACTGGTACTAGGGTCTACAATGGTAATTGCTTTCTGTCATCAATTTCTACCAAGGCTAATTAGCTACTCTGATACAGGTAAACATTCTTAGCAGGTTCCTTCCCATCCTATGTATAATCACAAAAAATACATTTAGATATTACTATCGAGAAGATGTATTCTTGGATTTGTATTCTTAAAATTAAAAAAGAAAGAATGCCTAAAGAATGTTTACAAGTGTTTGTTGCTACAGTTGTTCTTATTGTCCTTTAATATTGCAATATTCAAAGTTAATCTGGAACTTTGCAGATCGTTCAATCAGATTGACAATGACAAATCTCTAGGCATGTGACAGATGGCCTCAATGAGCTTGAGGAAGTTGGTAATAAGGATGCCAAGCAAATTTTCCTAATGCTTAATGGTATGTTGAGGCAGTAAAACACATCATTATCCTCTACAGTTTGCTCCATGAATGTCAGATGTCTATGATATTATTATTGATATAGTATATCAGTCAATATTTGTAACTAAGTTATTGAACACTATCGATAATCTTATGGTTATTGTTGTTCCGCATGCTTCAGAATCTATGAGATGCTCTGCTGTAATTGAATTTCTGGGAGTTAGTCCACACTTGTCATATAAGATCAGTAGCGAAATATGCTTTTGTTTCAACATGAATTACAAGTCTTTTCATGTATGATGATTTCATAGTTGTCCTGATTATGGTTTATCATGCCTTACTTATGAACAAGAAGGATGGCAATGCTTGCTGTAAAAATGGACTGTGCTGATCATATCATCTAGTATCAATGTTCTTGTTTTTCCATTAAGAAATTCAATCAAGTCATAAACTCTTGAGAACAATGCCATATCTGCAATGATCATGTTTTCCCAGATCTGAGAAAACGATGGGTGTTGAATTTGTGTTCCTTATCTTCATCTTGTCCTGACCGTTGGTTTCAACTTAAGCCACTTCAACTGACCATTACATGCTTCTCTGAAATTTATGCACCTCTGTAGGTAACCTGATGTCGAGTCATCTCTTTGGCATCTTTGACTAAAACATGCTGTTGATGGAGCCACTAACTCAAAAAGTCCTTCCAGATGGTTTGTGGTCATGGATCATCAAGTCCAAGCTCATCCACCATGGAAGGCAGCAGAGCAGTCATGTTTGAACATGAGATTGTCTTGTTTCTCGATCTTTTCCATTCAGGGAATAGATTCTTTTCCTTTTGTATGTTATGTTTGGGCTCCTTTAGTCTTTGATCATTTGAATCCATTATTCCTAGACCTTTAACTTGTACTTGCTTATCTGCAACTACCAAGTTATTTATTTAGATTCCATTCCATGTAGCTCCATCACAATGTGGGTTTTCTTTCAAAAGAAGACAACACAGCTTGGTCAAACTCTGGCATGCCAAAGTGGTGAACCACCTAGTTAGTGATTACTCACTTCTAGGCATCTCTGCATAGGCCACGCGTAGTGCCTCCCAATTGCTCACCTGGAGCTATTATCCTCCCTTGGAGGACTTTGCCACTTCAAGCATGGTGGGGGGAAGCCCTTTCCATAGACCTTGAAGAGATATTTTACTTAATAAAGGGAGAAATGATGAATGATAAAGAATATTGCAAAACAGTAGAAAGGCATTGATGAACCAAGTGAAAGGACATTGGCGAATTATTTTGAGGAGTTTGCCTTCTTTTAGAGAGACGAAAAGCAGCTTTGATAAAATGTGACAACCTCTCAAATTCTTGTGCATCAACATCTCATTTCCTTAAGTGTAAAAGTGGATTACCATTGCTTCCCAACAATGGAAACAGCCATTTCCTTCCAATCACTTCGGTCAGGTTTGGACCCACAATTAGTATTCTGATTGATCCGCAGAATGCCCTGACCTCTTAAATTCTAAATGTAATTGCCAAGTTGGAGCTTAACATCATCGAATGATTTTCATATTGTGTTATCAAAAGGTTGAATTTTTCTGAGTTCAGAAATAATATATATGGATGGTAGGTGGTTGTGTTGTTTTGTTAATCATATTGCTTTTACTTTTGGAGATGGAAGCAAAAACTCAAACTATGCTGTTTTCCTTTGAGCACCTATTTGTACTAGTTCATATTGATGTTTTAAAATCATTCAGCTCAAGGGTTCTTAGTAACTCAAAACTCCTCCATGTTTTTCCTGCAGGACCTGAAGATGTGGCATATTCATATGAAACTTGATCCTTGCTTGACACATGGGTCGACAAAAGGCAGACAGAGAGACATACATATAGATCTATAGGTTTGGCAACATTCTGAAAAGGAAAAGGTACCTCCTCAATGACAATAAGCTCATTGAGTGCTGCTCTGGATTCTTTAGGTTTGGGAAGGTGCAACCCTAGCATAGACTAACTAGCCTCAAGTGAAGGAAGCCATCAGAATTGTGGGGGACGAGAACTGGGGTGAGTTGGGCAGACATAAGTGCTATTGCCTACAGGAAAAGCTCAACCTCACCCGCCCCACCCCCCCCCCACCCCCCCATCCTCTTTTGAATGGGTTGGTAGTGGGCAACTCCATATTGCTTTTGGCTTTTGTGCTTTGTGTTTTGGGGGATAAGGAGCACTGATGTGGTCTGGGTACGGCTTTGACACGACATCTAGATAAGATGGATGAACTACTTTCTTGTTCTGGAAATGGTCCAATGATACACTATGCAACAAAAATACATATGTTTTCCCTATTGAACAAAAAAAAAATGTTTTCTTTCATTCGTTACCTCTCCATCTGCTCACTGGTTTTCTTCTTTTGTAGCTGCTTGTGGACCTCCCTTGCCATAAAATTCACCACTTCAACCAATGAGACAAAGTGTTGGCATTATTTAATTGAAAGACAAGATCATACAATTTGGCTCTTAATGATAGATTGATAGTATTAGGACAATCTTAATTGAATGCTTGTCTACTTGTCAGCCACTGATCATCTAAGCCCTTTCTTGAGATGTAGTTACACCAGATGTGCCACCTTCATATCTCAAAAATACTCAGGTGCACCTTAATGTTAATGATGTTTATGCTATCTCTCTATTGTGGAATAATGTTGCCTTATATTATATCTGTGTTGGATTACACATCCCAGATTCACCTGCAAAGGAGATTGATTAATTTAACATATAGAATAGATTGTCTCAGCAATAATTCTTCACTTGTCATAGTTTATTGAGTTCCAACCTGGTGGGTTTATTTTCTAAACGAGATTAAATTAATCATGATCGTGTTAATTAAATATCAGGATGCTAAACAAACTTTATTTGAACTTGTTTATATTTTTGTACGATGATGGTTGACGTCCTTAGAGGTTCAACTCAGTGAGAGGTTTTGATGCTCATGATTAAGTGTTAGTATTATAAGATCTTGATTAGAACTTGATATGCTCTCCATAAATTAAGAGATGTATGAGCTGATGAGATGCATAGACTGGTATCACTAAACCAGTCGTTATCCTACTGGTTGTTTGATATTTATCTATATTTTTGCACTGCTGATGACAACTACAAACTCAAACCTTTTAGGTCTTTGACTGAGTGATGCTCTCTCCATGCATTTCGTTGTGTTCATGTTTAGACAATTAATCCTTTGCCTTTTAGACAATTAATCCTCAAGTACCTTCATGGTGTTCATGTTTATATCGCCCATTGATTGTTTTTTCTCCCATCTCATTACAAGAATCTGGTGTCTTTTTCTTTCTTAGTCGAAATGTTATAAGTTCAAGTTACATGAAAAAAGAATAATAGTATCATGAATTTATAAATTAGAGAAAGTTTTCAAAAGCTTCAATTTTGGATATTGGTTTCGAAATCCAATTATTCTGCCATTAAAGAATTTTTTTTTTTTTGCGCACATGATTAAATGGTTTGTGTTTTATGATGTAGCCTAACTATAATGTTCCTTAAGGGTTTGTAGTTGCTGACCTTAAACATATCTTAAGCCAAGTATAATCCAATATTACACACTATGAATTGCAATTTTTTATAGGTAAGAAAATATAAAAAATATAAACTAACAGTTATTATAATCATTGGATTTTAAAATTGGTTGACTAAAAAAAGCAGGATATCATGAGTTTGTATTATTGTCATGTGGTTATCAGCATTAAAAAAAGGAAAAAAAAATGGGTAGGAAGCTTGATGTGGTCTGTATAATTAGAGGCAAGCAGTGATGGACCTCATCAGTTCCTTTGTTCTCTTGGTATCCAGGTACAAGGGAGGAGGAAATGAAGGGTAGCGAGAGGAAAAGCTTTTGGGCGTGAAGAGGGCAGTAGGGAGGTAAATCTTTCTCAATTTCTCATTTACAAGCACTGCTGGAAATTTCTTGTCATCTGAGTAATAGACAGAGGCCACAATAGCAGTGTATTGTTTCTTCAGTTAGTAGCAGACAGGACCCACACTGACCTTTTTCCACTATAACCACTTGTTATCATGCATCACTGTTGCGGCACCTCTCTTTCACATCTATCTCATTCCAAAGACGATGAGTGCGTTGCTTAAAATAAAGTAAACTTAGTTCTCACTGGAATATGGAGGAAGATGACCATAGTATCAGATGCAGTATTTTCTTGTGAAAAAAAAATAAAAGGAATATGAAGGAAGACGGCCATAATGTGGTGCTACGTGTCATCAGCAAAGGTAATGAAGGCATAGACTTTATAGCTCGGGATTCTCATGTAGCGTGGGTTTATTGGAATATATGCAGTTGATTTTGTGAAGTACATACAAAGCTTTGTGGGAAGACATCCATCGGAGCTTGTCTTCAAAAATCTGGTGGAGACATCTGTGGTTATTGGTATTCTTGATGGTGTTTTTTATGTTACTCGTGTCTTTAGGGAGGATGATAAGATCGTCCATTGGTAGGATGAATCGTGGATGAAGGGTACCTTTCCCTTCATTTTACTTGGCTATGATGATGATCAGGACGATGATTTTTGGTAACCTCTATGTTTCCAGTTATATAGATTTTTCTGTTATTGAGAATAAAAAAAGTTGCTAATGCATTGACTTTCATGAGAAAAGTTTCAGTAAGTACATGACGGACTTGTAGTCAAGAACAACTAGTTCTCCAATGGGAACAACCTGTTCCTTTCATGGGAATCAGACATGGAGGGAGGAAGAATTAGCCGGCAGCAGTTGCAGGCATTAGCTAATGGAATGGAATGACAAGATGGACTCAGTGATGCAAAAATTTTACGTTCCGCGTATAATCTCAAACCGTACGCTAAATGGAATGAGTAGATGGACTCGAGAGTACTGAGAGCTGCTGCTTGTAAGAGGCCTCGGCAAAAAGATTCACACTCGTATTCTCACTCCACTTGGGAAATGAATGGATCTGTTTCTGATGCCGCTTGTCTCCCAGCATCCGTGCCAATGCACACGATCTCTTCCAAGATTGCTGCTGTCTGCTTCGAATCTTCGGTGGCAGCTGGTGCGTCGATGGTAGTGGCATTGCTGTCAACTCTGGTAGAAATGAAATAGGAAGAAGAAGACAAGGCGGAGGACGAAGAGTTGGATGCTGTCGTCAGGACTCTCGCTCTCTCTACCTCCACCATCCAATCCGTCTTGCAGATGGCGTATGCCATGAGCGAAGCGCACGACGCCTGCGCTGCCAGCAGCCCCAGCCACAGCCCCGGGAACCCCATTCCCACCACGAAGCCCATCACGACGGCGACGGGCGTCCCCACCAGGTAGAACGAGCCGAGGTTGATGTTGGCCCCCGTGGTCGGCCTCGCGCTCCCCCGCAGCACGCCGCAGCCGGTCGTCTGCGGGCAGTTCCCCAGCTCGCACAGCCCGGCGATCGGCAGCGCCACCGCGGTGAGCTCCAGTATCTCCGCGTCGTCGGTGAACAGCCTCCCCCACTGATGCCTCATCGAAGTGGTGAACGCCATGGCGGCGAGGCCGAGCACGACTGCGACGGTCAACGACACGATGGTGGCCCTCCGGGCTCTGGCCGGACGGTTGGCTCCCAGCTCGTTGCCCACCCGGGTCGACACCCCGAGGCTCAAGGCCGACGGGAAGACGTACACCAGCGACGTCGTTTGGATCAGTATGCCCATGGAGGCAACCGTGGCTCTGGGATTGACGAGGACGCCGCACATCATTATCATCAGCTCGTACCACCACCATTCCAGACACACCGACACGCATGTGGGGATGGCGAGTTTAAGCAGCTGCGACCACCCCCTGAGGCAGTCAGTGCTGGGGCTGACCCATGAGCCCTTGTACACGCCCGAGAACAGTATAAAGAGAAGCAAGCAGACGAACAGATTCAGATTAGTCCACACCATTGCCACGGCCACGCCGGCGATGCCCATCTTCAAGCGCACCACGAGGAGATAGTTCAATGGCACGTGGAGGACGACCGAGACGAACGAGCAGTAGGTGACCGGCAAGGTGATGTTCTGAGACCTCAGATAGATTCTGATAGGGTGGAGGAACGACAAGAAGAGGAGGTCGGGGATGGCGAAGGCGATGAAGGTCTGCGCCGTCGAGGATATCTGCTCGTCCTGCCCACACCACAGAAGAATCCTCCTCATGTTGAGCCAGAGGAAGGAGACGGGCACGGAGGTGGAAAGGAGGAGGAGAATGGTTCTCTGGAGGGTGAGGCCCAGGATTTTGCGCTGCTTGGCACCGAAGGCCTGGCCGCAGATGGGCTCCATGCCCATGGCAAGGCCGGAGAGGACCGAGTAGCCGGTGATGTTGGCGAACCCGATGGAGAGAGAGCCAGCTGCCAGCTCGAGCTCGCCGAGGTGACCAAGAAACAGCATCGACACCATGGCACGGGAGTAGATGATCAGGCCTGTTAAAGCCGTAGGTATGGATATCTTCCCTATGGCTCTCATTTCCTCCACCACCTGAGCAGAATTCATGTGAGAACAGCGTACCGTCACTATTAACAACTATATGCACACGCCATAAAAGCCTTGTGTGTGTGTGTATGTGCATGAGCAGCAGGCAAATACTCGTAGCAATACCTGTGAAGGTGTAGGCCATCTTTGGAGATCTTGAAGGGGGTCAAGAGGAGGATCCTCCATGAGTTTATTGGTGGCAAAGAGGTGGGACTTATTAGAGTGGGAGAAAGAGAGAGGAGAGGAAGGTGAGGTGTTGCACATAGTGGATGGTGTTTCCTTGTCCTCACTGAACCTGGGTTGACATGGAGAGGGTTTCGAGTCCCACCTGCTCATTTATACAAGGGAGAGAGGACTGGATTGGGGCTTCGTCCTCACACGTGCCTCTTGTTCTTTTTGCAACAAGGCAACACCCAAATGGCTTGTTGTTTAAGATCTCTCTCTCTCTCTCTCTCTCTCTATTCCTTATCTAGAAGGGATGGAGCCCATAAGCCAAGTGAAGTGGTTCTTTAACTACTCCTACACTGTAAGTCATCCATTGATTGGTTTCGGGAGATGTTTCTTTCTGTGAGCTTGTTTCGATTCATGGATTCTACCAATTTCCTTCCATCAACCAATGCTTTCTTGTCTGTCTTCTCCTTTTGCTGTTGGCTATTATTCCATCTTCGTCGACGGCCCCTGGATGAAAGAATAATCTTTTGGTTAATCTTCAGCTTTTGGGACGGTATCCAAAACTATATCTTTCTGTTCGATCTGATTCGTCAAGCCATGCATGTGTGCATGCAGTAGCTTACTCGTTTTACAGGCAGTCATGCTTCTTTAGGCATCACCTAATGCCCTCTCTCTCTCTCTCTCCCTCCCTCGTGGTATTGTTAC